TAATAGTGTGAGAACATAGAGAACAAATAGTATGAGAACAAATTGTATAAGGAATGGACGATTCAATGCATTTACCTAGAATATCACATCAGGAGTCATTACGTGCATATTGGTCCCCGCTTACGACCAAGAAGCAACTAGAAACTTAAGATCACTTTGTAAGTCCCATTCTGACATTGCTACGTTAGTGCATTTTGTCATTGTTGACGTTTATATTGGACCATGTTCTTTGTTGCAAGCTTAGATTGACTTAATAAGTATCTAATAAGATGGATCTAATGAGATGGATCTAAAAGAATTGTATCAACTAACGTGTCACACTTCGATTATTTTAAATCCAGACTAATACAGAATTCTAGCTAAGGATAGAGGACAGAGAAGAGCGATGTGCTTTATTAATACATCTTGCGAATGTATCATTGTCTCATCAATATATATTCTTGGGATTGTATATTTAGCTTTATCTAGTGACTGCTGGTATCTCAGTTAAGCTTTTATCTATTATATTATTTTGTGCTAGAACTAAATGAACTATTCCGTGTTAGATTATAGGGTTAAAGATTTAGTTGTTAGTTAACTTTTTCATTTTATATAATTTTATGTAATTGCGATAATATTTTTAATATTTTACTTAAGCTAGAATATAATGAATCTGTTACTAATACTACTATCTGCTACTAAATTTTTATTTCATCATATATATTTCAAAAACATTTTTGTTTATTTTTCCAAATGTTTTAAAAATAAATTTAATGTTTAAAAATGTTATCCAACGAATTTTTTTAAATTAATGAGACAAATTTTAAAATACACATTTGAGCAGTAACTGCATTTGTATGCGATATCATGCAGATATTTCGAAACGTGCCATGGCTTAGAGTTGGTCAACATTTGCATATGGGAGCGTTTGTATGCATATTTCCTTCATAATTGCAAACATTTTGGCTTAGAAGGATTTTTTTCAGATAAATGTGTGTACTTTAATTGCTTTATTAGTCTCTTTTTTTATTGAAAATAATGCAATATTCAAATAAAAAAGTTTTTATGCTTACTAATGATTATACAAATATTAATATTTATATATATAAGCTTTAATATATGTGAGTACATTCATTTTTATATAAGCTGTATGAAATAATTTAAAATTAATTGCAATTATTTATATTGTGAGATAAAAAATTAAGCTTGACTGAAATTCCTATTAAATTTATTGATTCATTATCCTATATTAATCTTATTAAAATATTATCTGCAAATTTCATTCCTAAAAGCATAAAAAATGAGCATCACTCTCCAATATAGACAATTTATATATTTTAAATAAATTTAAATTTATATGATAAAATAATTGAATTAATGTTGTGTGGGATATGAGCAGCGGTTTAAAAATATATCCTTAATTAAACTTATTAATTGTCACTCAATTCACTGGCGCTGCAGTTCAGTTAATGATAAGTGAAAATATATAATTTCTCTTAATGAAATTAAGTGTTAAGCCGCATTAATTAATCGAATATAAGAGAAACTTTAAAAACAAAAAAATATATATATTGTTAAACTAATTAAGTATTGTTATTGCTTCTGTATTAACTCATATTTCAAATTTATTTAAAAAAAAGAAAAAAATTCTATCAATTTAAAATGGTTGAAATAAAAATGCTCGGTTTGGTACATTTGTCATTTAATTAATATTCGACAATATAAAATATTATATTTTATATTATAGGTATATAATTTTTTACATAAATTTTTCTGAACAAATAAACTTTTATTAATATTGTAACGTAGTTTTCAATAAGTTTGTAAAACTAATTAAAAAATGGGACATTTTATTTGTAAAAAGGACTTCGTTTTTTTTTATTATAAGCTCCCTTAATATCAACTTATTCCAACGATCTTCGAATGCATGAATCTCATCCAGCTATTTTTCAAAACACCCGCTAAATTTTCCTTAAAGATTGCAATTACTTTGTTGTACATATTTATTATTGAATGCAAAAATGTTATGTTTATTATTATTATTATATTTTTATTAGAATTAATATTATTATAATTTAATGTATTATAGTTTATAGTTTAATAAGTTAGGTTATTTAATTTACTCACGCCACTGTAAGATTAATATTGTAAACCGCACCTGCAAGATCAGATTAACTGTGATGTTTTGTTTGTTTTGAGAGAGAAGGTTGGTCTGGTTTTGCAAGAATGGTAAAGGTGGCGTGATGATTTTTGCAGTAAAAGAATTGAGTGGTTGGGGAGTTGAGTTTGTGAAAAAGCAGAAGCAGTCGCTGATCGAATTGAAGCTTAGCTGTATTGATTTGTTTTTTTTGAAATCCGATTTGTATGATTTTTTTTTACTTTGGACAGTCAGACAGATATGTTAGATGAAAATCGTTTTTCTGTAAGAATTTTTTGAGGTCTGGAAACAGTCAGAATTCAAAGGAAACTAAATTGATTACTTGTTGCATCACTTCGTACTATAATTTATTGATACTAGTGCAGATTTTTTAAGGATTTTCGATTTACATTAGTGTTGTTTTAATTCAGAGATAAATCAATGAGCATAATCTTTTTATCTATCATAATATGCTCCATATAATACAATGTCAATCTTGTTTAAATTATAGTGTTATTGTGTTATTGGTCATTTATTTATAAAAGATATACCGAAAATTTATTAAGAATTTAAGTATATTCTGATGGTGCGATACTTAACTGTTTACCATGGACTGTGTTATTACCTTTACAAAATGGTTCTGTCAGACAGGATAGATTGCCGACTCTGCTTAGAAGCAGACGAGACCTCAACTCATATTCTCTGTGACTGTTCAGCCCTGTTCTGCACTAGGAGGAGGTCATTGGGTCGAGAATTAATTTACTGTTAATGAAGCAATTAGGAGGTCTTCAATGGCAGACATTTTGGCTTTCATTCGAAGGGCGGAATATTTTCTGTTCGGTTAAGATCTGTAGTACCACAAAAGATCAACTATGATCGCGGCGCACTGATCCGTTAGAGTCCGGTATCCTGTTTATTTTGATTCTATTCTATAATGAGTATATTCTATTCCTAATCACTTCTGTTCGGTTAGGGTCTGTAGTAGCACAAAAGATCAACTATGGTCGCGGTGCACCGCTTCGTTAGGAGCTGGTACCCTGTTTATTTGAAATCTATTATATTCAACATGTATATTTTATAGCAAATGTATGTCAAAATATAGCCAATTTAATTAAAAGCATTTATTTTGAAAAATTTATTAAATTTTAGTATATAAATTGAAATAGTCACTTTAAAGGAAATCAGTTCAACAAAAAACCATTTACTTTCAATTTATGTTCCCTTAAAACAACATAAACTGACACTATTGACAGATTCTACAATCCCTCCACAATCGATACGTAAGATTAGCTTAAGCTGTGTGTAAAATCAGTAAACAAAATATGCCACGCAAAAAAGGGTATGAAATGTGTCAAATAAATTTTATAAGACCTTAAGCCTTTAACATTTCCGTGCAACCGATATCAGCTTATTTTTCTCATTTTATTTACAGAAACCTGCAACCAATTTTTTTCTCGTAAAAAAAATACAAAAAAAACGTGTCTGTGTAAAAAAAGAGGGCAAAGGCGAAAATTGCTTCCCAACTTTTTTGGTTGCATGCCAACAGCAGAAAGAGAAGCAACTGTTGCTGCCACTTCTATTAGAGCTTGATTTTACTAAAATTTCATTTTTTCGTAAATACTTTCATAGCTGTTGATGCTGAATCGAGTAACTACAGGCTATACATGCGTATCCTTACAGGATACTGCAGGCTTTACTATAGAAATGCATTTTGTCCTTTATTGTTCTTTTTTTTTCAGCTGTGAGGTTGATGGTAATTTATTTTTTTGGTGTGGAGAATAAACCAATAAAAACATGCAAAGTTTTTCATGCAATTTTGAATATGGATACGTTACGATGGGTGTGGTTTATGCAAAAATAAATGACATTTGATTGTTAAAATTTTATGAAAATAGTCGTATATAAATATATATATATAGATATACGTTTCAACACGAATACAATTTTACATGAATTCGTATAAACAAAACTTTTATATGTGATATCAAACTTAATTTAAAGTTACTCATACGCCACAGCATCAATGTTTCACAGTTTCAACGAAGAAAAATGATTTTGAAAATAAATTTTATTTTAAAACAATTGAATTTATTTTTTATCTTCTTTTCTATAGAATAGTTCTAAATTGCTTGTCTACATATGTTATTAAACTTGGATGATTTGAAAATATAAAAGTTTTTGTAAATCAAGTTTATTGCAAAAATAGTTTTGTTCAATAAAAGTCAATGGAGAAACTTTTTTAAAGTTGAGGCTATAGATAAACATAACTTTTTGAATACGAATATTGCATAAATTGAAAAATAACAACTAATTTTTATTATTACAAATTCTTGGTATTGTTAAATTTGAATAGAAAAAGATTGATATGCCTAAAGTTTTCTAAATTTTAAACTATTTTTATACAAAATATTAAGAGAGAAACAAACCTTTATTTGAAATATTTTGTAAGAATAATTTTTATATTATTTTATATATTATAACCATCAAATGAGCGACTATAACGTGCAACTATGCAGTAGCCCCTCGAGAAAGAAATCCGAGAACGGAAATATTGGTGGATTACACACACGTTACGCAAAAGCACAAATGATGTAGTACATGCGGCAGTAATCTGGAATGCGCAAGGCAGTAGAACATGTTGACGACCACGAAATTCTTGATATAGAATTGGTGAACTGAGATCTATCGATCGGAATAGCCAAAATTGAAAAACTTTTGTACAAACTCTTTGTGAATAGGTTAAGTTTATACTATCAAATA